GTCTTAACTGTTATTTGCGCGTTTTAAAACAGTAGACCTTTGGAATTTTTTCGTTTTAATTGTTATAATAAAAATAAAGTGTAATTTACGGCGGTCGTAAAACGGCTCGAATTAGTAGTATTTACAGGCGTATTAAAAGAGACTTAATTCTCAGGTTTGTGAGAGAGAGCGGACTGTGATGTCGTAAAAATCGTTAGAGATGCCACGTCTTTATTTTTACGTCTTTGTTTTTATCGCTATACGAAACGACACCGAACGACAATTTTATTCGTTGAATTGGACTCAGCTAAACAGAGTAATTTTATTTTGGATGCTCCCGTACGCCCGTACTAAACATGGTATAAATAAGTTTTTTTTTATTGTAAATAACTTTCTTATCGTTTGCATTTTATGCCCATTATATTTGTTTAGGGCTTTTGTTCAAGTCTAAATATTGATGCCTGACTCTATGCCTATAACAACGCAGCGCCGTAGAAAGGAACGTTCGTGATCCGATTCAATTTTCACGACTCTTTTTTACGGCTCATCGTTCAAATCTTATGGATCCGTAATGGACACGATTCAACCGAACGAACCGTATTGTAAGCAATGAATCAATTCTCGCGACTTTGAACTAACGATCGCATTGTGATCCGATTTAATTCTCACGACTCTTTTTTACGATTCATCGTTAAAATCTTATGGATCCGTAATGGCCACGATTCAACTGAACGAACCGTATTGTAAGCAATGAATCAATTCTCGCGACTCTTTGAACTAACGATCGCATTGTGATCCGATTCAATTCTCACGACTCTTTTTTACGGCTTATCGTTCAAATGTTATGGATCCGTGCTGGCTACGATTCAATTGAACGAACCGTATTATAAGCAATGAATCAATTCTCGCGACTCTTTGAACTAACGATCGCATTGTGATCCGATTCAATTCTCACGACTCTTTTTTACGGCTCATCGTTCAAATGTTATGGATCCGTGCTGGCTACGATTCAATTGAACCAACCGTATTGTAAGCAATGAATCAATTCTCGCTACTCTTTGAACTAACGATCGCATTGTGATCCGATTCAATTCTCACGACTCTTTTTTACGGCTCATCGTTCAAATGTTATGGATCCGTGCTGGCTACGATTCAATTGAACGAACCGTATTGTAAGCAATGAATCAATTCTCGCGCCTCTTTGAACTAACGATCGCATTGTGATCCGATTGAATTCTCACGACTCTTTTTTACGGCTCATCGTTCAAATGTTATGGATCCGTGCTGGCTACGATTCAATTGAACGAACCGTATTGTAAGCAATGAATCAATTCTCGCGACTCTTTGAACTAACGATCGCATTGTGATCCGATTCAATTGTCACGACTCTTTTTTACGGCTCATCGTTCAAATGTTATGGATCCGTGCTGGCTACGATTCAATTGAACGAACCGTATTGTAAGCAATGAATCAATTCTCGCGACTCTTTGAACTAACGATCGCATTGTGATCCGATTCAATTCTCACGACTCTTTTTTACGGCTCATCGTTCAAATGTTATGGATCCGTGCTGGCTACGATTCAATTGAACGAACCGTATTGTAAGCAATGAATCGAATCTCACGATTCACTTTTAATATTCGTTCAAATGAACGATTCGTTCAAATCAACGACTCGTTCAATCTCTGCTCACCTCTAGTGTAGACTGAATCCATGTGCAGCATGAAACCTTATAAAATAGCCAAATTGCTACGCCCCTGATATTCTGGAACGTCGAACCCGATTATAGTTTTTCCTCTGCCTTGCTCGAAGCGACGAAAAGCGGGACAGGCGTGCCAACGAAAATCCCGCTGCTGATGTCTTTCCTGTCTCTCCGTGTATGTGTGGATGTCGCTAGCAGCTCGTTTATTTCGTTCTCGTTTTCATGGCCGACATTAAGCCGTCCCGTTCGGGAGTCTAATCGCTCCACTGACAGCCGAGATACGTCCAATTTATCATGGCCGGGTGACAGCTAGCGGAGAGCCGTGCCAAACGGGAGGAGAGGTATTAATTTTTTAACGTCGCTGACAGCTATGAGTGTACGTACCTACACTGTAGCTGGTTAGATTTATTTTGGTATTTTAACTGAGAATTGATCTAATGTTTAAGACCTTCCACTGATGCTGTAAGAGTCTATTCTGATCATTTTTCCTTAGCAACTGTTAAAATTGCCTTATATCTATCAAAAATAGTAGATAAAATAGTACTTTAACCGCAAGGGTAGATTAAGTGATACTTTAACAGCGAGGATGGGTTAAAAACTTTATTCCTTCTCGCAGGTTTTTTAATTGCTTCAATTTTTGAAAATTTTTGTATTCCTTTTCATAAGTTATTCGGGATTTAAATGGAAGTAGTTTGGATATGGCTCAGCCTGAATATCTGTTGGTAATTTAGTTATTTCGTTTTGAGCCATTTCTGGCTCCCATTCAATCAGCAATCGACACGAAAGAGAAATAAAAAAATATTGAATATTTTGACTATTGACTACTAAAGAGACAGCTTTATTTATTTGTCAAATTATATAGAAACCAACGCCAACCCAGCACAATATTTTTCCTTGAAATAATAATTTCTGAATATTTTTTAAAACGTAATTAGCTATGGAAAAAAATATTGTTTTATACACGACGATAAAATGGCATTATCGTCCCCGAAATTTACAACCAAATCTTCGGTCGACGATAAAATACCATTTTCTCGTCTTCTATAAAAAATAACTATTAACATCATATTTAGCTTCATTTTAAGGTTAATTGGATATACCTTCCTTGCATACTCTTCTTTCATTTGCATCCATGTTTATTGCATATTGTATATGTTGTTGATGTAACTGCTCACTAAACATCAACTTATGTCTACGTTTTGTTCACTGCTATTTTTACTAAATCCTCTTATACGGCTGTTAGGGCAGTCTCAGGGCTTTGGCAAAAGGCAGTTTCTGAGACGGTTTTACAGAGATCATTTCTCGGTTTTCGTCTTTTGATTTTTCAAGTTTTTCGTCTTGTAAAGACAATCTGGGGACATACTGTATATTGTGCTTCTTCTGTTATTTAAAAAAAACATGAATTCTTGTTTCAGTGTCCAATTTTTATAGTTATATGTCACAACTGGTAGTATCAATTGATCTCATTACTTTAATTGCGTTCTACATTTGAAACAAGATGAAATCCCACCAAAATAACTTTTGTAAACCTTTCAATTCTCTGAGTTTTGTCGACATGTATGTGTCTAATATGATCATTTACTTCAAGAAACATTAAAAAATTAAAAATTTACTGAAGATATCAACTTGGCAAAGCAGTCTAAACGCTACCATTATCTTTGAATTGAATCATTCACCTTGCGGCGTCACAACTTCTGACCATTCATTGTGTTAAACTGACCGACTTATAAGACGCTGAAACTGACGTCTATTTGTTCTTATGCTAATCGACGTACAACACAAGAAAGGAATAATTATTAATAGCTGTATCTCTCTCTGCTTACCACGGCAACCCACACGCCATGTCGAAATGTCACATCTGTCATTAATAAAGTTTTGCGGTCTCAATTGAAGCGAGATAGCCCGTCATCTCGCTTATGATTAGTCGAACAATGGCGCGGCTTTGACAGCCAATTAATGTTGTTTGTAACAAGTTTTTTGCGGTGTGTTGCTGTAACGTCGATTGCTTCATGTTCGTGGCGTATATTGAAGGGTGTGACGTAGGCATTTCCTCCTTTAAATATTAGTATGATTTTTAAATGTGGAATCTGAAATAAATAAAACAAAAGTCGGGTTTATATCACACAAAGTACCGTTTGTGTCCAGGAACGATTCATAGTTTCATAGATGTCGATTTTCGAAAGAAATCAGAACGTGTACATTATTTCGTATATTCTTCATTTTATTGATTTTATGGAAAGCACTGTTGATTAAAATGTTGTATCCTATGTTATAGGGCTTGTTTCTCTCTACAATTTCCTGTCTCACAATGTACCGTTTGTGTCAGGGAAGGGTTCATAGTTTCATAGATGTCGATTTTCGAAGGAAATCAGAACATGTACATTATTTCGTATATTCTTCATTTTATTGATTTAATATTAAAATATAGAGAACAAATTACAACAACAGTCAAATGGATTGTCTCAAGTCATTCCAGATGATTTAGTAAATCAGTCATTCGTTCCAGATGATTGAAAGAGAAACTCAGTTCACTGTTAGGCAGTACCAGGTTAGCCGGATGTGCTAGTTTTTAATGAAACTTACATCTCAGATAATTTTTAAGTTTAAAATTTTTTATTGCATATAAATCTAGTTAATATAAGGGGTGTGAATATAATTCCATGGCCTTAAATCTCCATACAGAAATACCACCTACATTTCCGAGATAAGAGACGGCAAATAAACAGAAACAAATAAAACAAAGTGGTTCTCCTGCGCCGTAAAACATTTTTATCTAAATATCTTCGGCCTGTCACCTAAATAAACAAGACTAATTAACGTCAAATCTCCTAACCACTGCATCTGTCCTTGTTCAAACTTGACGCACAGAGGCGTAGAGGAATTTAATTTAAAATGTTTTGTCTGGTTTGAATGATGATGAAGATATAGAAGAGTATTTCAGGCAATTAATATACAGTTCAGGATCTCTACTACCAGAAATCAACAGAAGAATTAAGTTAGCATGGAGTACTTTTGGAAGAAACTCAGTCATACTCAAATCTAGAATGGCACTTTATCTATCAATTAATATGGTACGGCCACGTTCAGAGAATGCACAATGAAATAATTCCAAAACAAGTCATTCATTGGATACCACCTGGTAAACGAAAGAGAGGACGTCCCAAGAAAACATGGATGGAAGGAATAAGAAGGTCGATGAGCGAGAAAAATCTGACTGAAGATCGATGGGAAAATCGCACAGGGTGGAAGTTAGGCATCGGACAACGTCGTAGGACGTTCTGACCCGAATTTATATATATTTATATATATTTAACCGTAGCTATTTAGTTATTTCGTAAAAGGCATACCTTTTAATGTTGACTGCAGCTGTAAGACCAGTCTTGCACGTCTCGGTTTTGGCGGTGTAAACATAGTCGCTTTCAGCTACAATTCCGTTCTTCACAGCGTAGTCCAAAGCATCTTGGTAGATACCTCCATTGCATCCTTGGCTGATGTAGCTACCTCCAGTTGCACAGTCTACCAGTTGCTGTTCGGAAAGAGACTTAAGTTCACCGGTCTTGATAGCGTAGGCACCTTCAACTACTGCGGTCTACAAAGAGGGGTAGTTATACTTAGTTCAGGTTTTATTGAATCAGACAATTTGAAAACTTACACTGGCGAAAGCCCAGCACGATCCACAGCTTCCTTGGTCTTTGATTGGGTTGACAACTCCTTGGTCCCTCCAGTCGAAGGTGTCTGGACTTACTGCACCTATTGGTGCCCTTTAAACGGAAAATACGTTGAAAATTACCATTACTGTTTAAATTTAATAGTTATTTTTTATACAAGACAATAGACGATAAAATGTTATTTTATCATCGACCGAAAATATAGATGAATTAATTTCGGGAGACCATAATGCAACTTTATAAGGCAATTTTCACAGATGTTATGGAAAGAAATATCTAAGTACATTTTCCAAAAATTACTTACTTGTATACAGGTCTGGTAACGTTGACGTTGGGTCTTTGTTTGTAGGACTGTCTGAGCATAGCTCCAAACTCTTCAGAGGTCATGTCAGCGAACTTAGTGATTCCCAGAGTGTATGTTGATTCTCCTTTGGCGAAAAGGGCATTTTGTTCTTCGATTTTCTTCAGGTTGTCTCGGAAAATGGCGAATCTTTTCGTCTCCTCAACTTTGTCTTGGTAAAGCTTGGTGTGCTTGGTCTGAATAAATAATTTTAATGAATTTAGTCATGTAAAAAATGGAAATAACTGATTTACCTTGAATTCGGACCATAGCTGGGCAGCTTTAAGCTCCGAACTAGCTGATACTGCCAAAACAAGAGCTGCAAAAACGATGAATGCTTTCATTTTTAATGGTGTATAGTAGACTGTGCTTCATTTCGAGGTTTTTAGTCTTTTTATAAAAGTTTCAAGTAGTTTTTTTGATTATCAATATTGATATGCAATTACAATATTATTTTATAGAAAAAATGTAAGTATGTACTTAATATTTATAATTCTATCCGTATCGAAACAAGGAAATGTTATTATTTCTATTTTTTTTCTATTGCATTGTTTTACATTAAATTTAATTATATTTTGTGTATTTATCATTCAGTAATTATATAAGTTTATTGGTTATATTAGCATCTCATTGAGGCATCATCATGGTGATGGCTCAATGAGATAGACTTTGACGTCATTTATAGTATTTTTATCACATTTTTTATTGATTTTAGTCTGGATTTTTTCCACAAAAATCTTATAGACTATAAATTTATCTCGAGTACTTGTGCAAACAATGTAATTTGTCAATAATGAATACACAAATAAGATTTTGAACAATGTACCACTCGACGACTATTTTTATGCTAAATAAATATCGATTATTCAAATATAGAAATAAGTAACTATTTTTGTCAACTACTCGCTAATCTCTACTAGACATTCAGTGACAATTGTTTTAAACTTTGTCTATTTGATCAAATTTGATTAAACAAATAAATGAAACATTTTATCATTTCATTAATGATTTTGATTTTGGTTTGATTAGTTTAACAAAAACACAATAGATAAAATCAAAACTAAAATGAAAAAGTATTAATTATTAATTATTTTATTTACAAAACTGTACAGGGTGGTTCGAACTCTATTCCGGAAACTTCGGCAGCATATTCTGCAGAGAAAAATAGGTCAAAAAGTTTGTATAAATGTATGTCCTAAAATACTTAGTTTCGGAGATACAGGGTGTACAAGTTTAATTTTTATTTCGATTTTTTTCCAAAAAATATGTAGGGGGCGCCCTCTACAAGTAGGAGTCATATTGACATAAAAATCAAATTTCTCATGTCAAAAAACTCCCAGACACTAATTTTCATCCATATATTGACGTTACTTCAGAAATTATTTGGAAAAAATCGAAATAAAAATGAAAGTTCTACATCCTGTATCTCTGAAACTAAGTATTTTAGGACATACATTTATACGAACTTTTTGATCTATTTTTTATATGCAGGATATAAAATCTTCCCCTGTATAGAGACTGTACATAACTTATTACTGAACGTAAATATTAATAATATTTTTATACGGCTCGAATGCTGAATGTTAATGCCTCCGGCTTATTGATTTCGACATAAAGAAAGACGTATGGCGGCCATTAATTTAACTCTAATGACACAACACCATTCGCCATTTGCATGTTTAATCGGTAGTAAAACTTTTATTTATTGCCACTTCTAGATTGGACCGGCATATATAAAGGATTAGAGAGACTTGGCAACGGTTGTTAATTGCCACGCTATATTATACAGAAAAAAAAATAAAATCATTAATTTTCTTATTGATGTTCAGTCATTCATATAGCTTTTTTCCATAGCAACTATTAAAATTGTCTTATATCTATCAAAAATAGTAGATAAAATAGTACTTTAACAGCAAGGGTTGATTAAATGATACTTCAACAGCGAGGATAGGTTAAAATCTTTATTTCTTCTCGCACGTTTTTTAATTGCCTCCATTTTTGAAAATTTTTGTATTCGTACAGCAATTACAAGAAATGTTGAACACATATACCTGGGCATACGAGGCTTTGGGCCTTAAGCTAAACATCGACAAAACTAAAATTACCCACATTCAAAAGAATAACTTTAGATATTTTTGATTAACCCGTTTACGAGTTATCGCCGATTTCTTTTTAAGTATTTCTCCTTTCTTATGGCCCTGTATTTGCTTATGAGCACCAGTCAAGGTAAAAGATAACTGTCAAATGAAGTTGTCATTTCAGAAATTTATCTATTTAATGCTTTATTATTATTGAAAACTCATTCCTACATCGGAAATCTTAAAGATGTATTTATAAATACAAATTAATATGAATTAAAGTAAAATAAAGTAATCAATTACAAGGTTAATTATAGTATTATTACAATATTCAATAACTTATTAATTTAGGTACTATTAAATTGTTAGAACTTTAGGATATAAGATGTTCAAATATTCCTCCATTGACTGCTAGACAATAACCCAGGCGATCATAAAATTCTCTTCTTACATTCGCTAGTTGGTAAACTGAAATTCTATTGCATTCGGCAGAAATTAGAATTAATAAATGTAAAGATAGTATGAACAGAGACAACGGTCCAATTCCTTCAAGTTCTTTGTTCCTACTACTCAAGTGGCGGAAATCTAACTGTTACGCTCAGTGGGTTCTGACTCGGTTGGCTAGATTTTGCCACGCCCACTCGGTGCCCACTGGGCGAGTATATAAACGCTCAACTTGTAGATTGTACTTTAGTTTATAATCATCTGCTGATGATGCTAACATGGTTAGCGAGACGCGCGTCCAGTGTAAAAGTAAACGCGTTTTGGTTTGGTTTGGTTTGGTTTGGCCCCAGAGAAAGAAATAATTTGGCGAAATATCAGGAGACCTTGCTGGCCAATTTACTGTATGATTTAGGCCAATAACGTTTCCGTTGAAACTATTGTCTAAATATTCCCGAACAGCCAGAGTACTATGTGCCGGGCAGCCATCCATTTGGTACTAAACTTCCTGATTTTCCCTAGCGGCATCATGTAAAGCAGGTAAAATATGATTTTCGAGTAGTTCCAAATAGTATTCTGCATTTAAATTTCGCGTAAGAAATAATGGCCCGATAATATTGTGTCCGAATATCCCTGCCCAAACATTTACTTTCTGTGGATATTGCGTCCTTGTTTCGACAAACCTGTGTTGGTTTTCTTTGTTTCAATATTGATAATTTTGAACATTGTGTTCATTATTTAAGGTAAACTTGCATTCGTCAGTGAAACATGTTTTTTAAAAATTCCCTATCCGTGTTTGCTCTTTCCATCATATCAAAACAAAACGCCTGCCGCCGTATTTCGTCCCCATCTCGTAGCTCTTGGTGCTTTTCATATTTGAAGGAATAGTATTTATATCGTTTCAAAATTCGAAAAGCTGTAGCGTGATCTATTCCTATTATTTCATCCTCAAGTTTCCTTGTGCTGATCTTTCCATCGTTCTCTTCCATGCACAATAAAACTTCCAAGTCGGTATCATTTCTTGCATCTTCTCTTTGTTCCTGCCTTGCTTCACATCTGCAGTTATTTATTAGGGTACCTTGGGTCTCAAATCTCTGGATATTCCTTGCGATTGTAGATTTTCCAGGTATCGGTCTATTCGGATACAGAGCAGCAAACATGTCCGACACCTTTTGATAACTATTTCCTTGATAATACCATTTAATCATCAATACTTTTTCTTCCCCTAGTGTAATTCTATGTATGGCTAATATTTTCGATGTAGGTATGCGTTTTTAATAATAATAATAATAAAGCACTAAGTAGATAAATTTCTGAAATGACAACTTCATTTGACAGTTATCTTTTACCTTGACTGGTGGTCATAAGTAAATACAGCGCCATAAGAAAGGAGAAATATTTAAAAAGAAATCGGTGATAACTCGTAAACGGGCTAATCAAAAATATCTAAAGTTATTCTTTTGAATGTGGGTTTTAGTGCTCTTCAAAAAACCTAAATAGAATTATTCTCTAAAATAATTAGGGAAGTCAATAATTGACCCTAAAATTTACATGGGATTTCCTATGTCCCGCTCGACGATGCAACACCCGGTATATGATCTAGGACTATAGTAAATAATGCAAGAGTTCTCTAGTCCTTCGCTGTTTATAAAACCCATCCATCGAATTACCATAGAAATGATTTTATTATGAAAAGTATTCGGCCATAAAACAGACACTGCTTTCAGTTTTACGAACGATGGTCTTCGATAATGCTCTTATCTTAAATCTTCCAGATTTTATTCGCTATGTATTAAATTCTTCTGATTTCACTACGCCACCATATTTATGGGCGATATTATACAGATAATTGGTATGAGATGTCATAAATATGGTTACGGCGATCCGAAGAACATATAACTGCTGTTTCTGCTTCGATTATAATTTTATTATGAGTGTTTTAATGAAGGCGGCTTGTAAGCGTTTCGACAGATGCTCATAATATTAATTTTATCTATCAAGGAAATTTATTTATCGAGGGTTTTATAATAGTTTCGAGACTTTTTTTTAATTATATTAGTTTTTAAATCGTCTGGTTTATAAGTTGTGTAAATATAAATAATTCTGTATGATAATTTTGATTTTTTTTCCATAGTATCTGTCAAATCTTTATTGGAATTTCCTTTTAGCATCATCAGCTCAGCAGATGATGGATGTTGCATCGTCGAGCAGGACATAGGAAATCCCATATAAATTTTAATGGCTTCCCTAATTATTTTAGAGAATAATTCTATTTAGGTTTATTGAAGAGCACTAAACCACATTTCAAAAGAATAACTTTAGATATTTTTGATTAGCCCGTTTACGAGTTATCGCCTATTTCTTTTTAAATATTTCTCCTTATGGCCCTGTATTTACTTATGAGCACCAGTCAAGGTAAAAGATAACTGTCAAATGAAGTTGTCATTTCAGAAATTTATCTATTTAGTGCTTTATTATTATTATTATTAAAAACTCATACCTACATCGAAAATATTAGCCATGAATTACACTACCGAAGAAAAAGTATTGATGATTAAATGGTATTATCAAGGAAATAGTTATCAAAACGTGTCGGACATGTTTGCTGCTCAGTATCCGAATAGACCGATACCTGGAAAATCTACAATCGCAAGGAATATCCAGAGATTTGAGACCAAAGGTACCCTAATGAATAACTGCAGATGTGAAGCAAGGCAGGAACAAAGAGAAGATGCAAGAAATGATACCGACTTGGAAGTTTTATTGTGCGTGGAAGAGAACGATGGAAAGATCAGCACAAGGAAACTTGAGGATGAAATACGAATAGATCACACTACAGCGTTTCGAATTTTGAAACGACATAAATACTATT